TTTCTGATGATTGACTGTGTTATTCTCCTAAAGTTATATGGGAAGTTAATACAAGTTAAAAATCATTTTACAGGCTGGTAATAATAAAGTTCCGGAGTGTCGGTCTGCAGGGCGTTTACACTTTGGCCCTTCTTGGGAGAATCAGCTCTGACTGTGATATCTGCTGACTGGCTCCTCACTCACATAAATGGGGCAAGTATTAGATACTGCAACCAGGCAACTTTTGATTGTAGTTAAGATCTGCGGGTCTCGGCAAGTGTCTGTCATTTCAGTTGACATTTCTTTGGTCATGTTACAAATATAATGTGAGACGTACACTTGAAGTCATATTCATTTTGTTTCGGTTTTTTCACCATTTCACATCCTCAATCTGGTACCAGACGTTTGTAGATGGACTAAGATTACATTAACTTGGATGAGCACTGCTGCACGCTCTTATAAGTAACAATGTATTACATGCTTTTTGAAAATATTTTTTCAAATATGTTTCAATTTTTTTGTGCAGGGAGAGTATGCATTATATGCATTTACCATTTTAACTGTTAAACATGCCCACGGTAACTATAGATGTATATTCTGTGGAGCGTGTCTCACCTCGGTAGCTGATTGGCCCAAATAGTGGGACTTATAGTTTTCTTTAAACACTTACTGGTGTTTTTGAATTGGGGAATTTATTTTGTGAATCCAGGAAGATGGGTGAGTGGTAAGCAGTTTTTCCTAAGTTTTGTTTTTTTTTTCCAGTAAAAAACTATTTGGTTGTTTGTACGAACAAAATAAAATCCTTTGAAATATAATTTGTGACCAAACTTTGTATTCATTTATTTATTACAAAACCTGCCATCAGTGCATTTTTTTTACACATATCATATAACAGATAATATCTTGCCTACTGGTTTGAAAGGAGTTTATGAAGCAAATGCAATGGGTGAGATGCATGACATCTCGCTTCGCTAACTGCTTCTTCTCCCATGCTGTTTATCTGTCTAAACAAAGCACTTGGATGTTCTTGGACTTGTTTTGATTGAAATGTTGTTGTTGATCGATTTCACTTAATCAGACTTGGTTTGTTTATTACGTTTAGAGCACTGTTGAGTCACCAATGACCACTTAGGCTGAGAGCTATTCAGGGAGAAGAGAAACGTTTTAGACTATGTTCTTTACATAGCTACTCTCAAAAGGCGTCCACTTGCTTTAAGTATTGGTCAGGAAGAAGTTCTGGACGGTTATTTGTGCTTTGCTTTTCGCTACTGGACGTCACAGCTAACAAGTTTGCACAGATCTTTGCCGTCTGCTTTTCTGAGGTCATAACACTTGGCTTTATCTCGGTATTTAGTAATCTGACTCAATAATGAATTATGAATTAGCTGATTTGGAGGCAGAAACCCAAAACGGCGCTGTGATTTTAAAGCCTCTTTTCAAATCAGTCTCAGTGGAATGAGGATTTGGAGTACGCGACCTATAACTTCTAGTCCACTGTCAGAGGCAGCACTAGGTAATAATCACATCGCTCCCAATGCCGACCTTCGGCTAGAGACACCCTAATTAAACCACAGAAGGAGCAAGCATACATCCAACCAACATCCCGAACAAATATCAAGATGGTCATCAATCTGTACGATGGCTAGAGATGCGAGAGGCCAGGGCACGTGTGGGCCTTTAAAAAACAATGAAATTTATGGAAGAAATCACGAAGAGGGTCGAGACAAATCCTGACTTACCCCAGTAGGTGACAATCCCCCTGAATGCTCGATCTGTATATTTACGAAATAAGTTGATATGTTTTGATTAATTACTGAATAAATGAAAACACTGCCCCACAAAGCAATAGACAAATAGTTATTGGCAAAGCACCCCCACTACACTGTACAAATACAATAACAGATAGGAGGGAATAAATTGCTTGAATTACACGAAGGGGTAGGGTTATTACCAACTTCCCCCCCCCTCACACCACCACTGTATACACTCTGACAGAACAACAATAAAAACAAGCTTTGGACAAAGCAATTTCAGTCCTATTTTCAAGAAACAAATTCGCCTTAAATTCTCATATCCAAGGGACTCCTTACATTTCCGAGTACCGGCAGGCCAAGCAGTGCCGCGGCCCGGGCCAGTGGCAGAGGCAAAAACCCGGGACTGGGGAGGAGTTCGGAGAGTCCATGGAGCATGACTATCGGTCGGCCTCGAAGAGATTCTGGCAAACCCATCATGGCGCCCTCAGGAGGGGGAAGCAGTTCTTTGCCAACACCCATGTACCGGTCTCGGGTGGAGAGCTGCTGACCTCGACTGGGGGATATTGTCGGGCGGATGGTGGAAGGAATACTTTGAGGTTCTCCTCAATCCCCCCGTTCATCGTCCTCTGTTACAGAGGCAGAGGCTGAGGATGTTGGGGCGGGTACATCCATCTCCCTGGCTGAGGTCACCAAGGTGGTTGGTAGCCTCCATGGTGGCAAGGCTCCGGGTGTGGATGAGATCCGCCCTGATTATCTAAAGTCTCTGGATGTTGTAGGACCTGTCTTGGCTGACACGTCTCTGCAGCATCGCGTGGCGATCGGGGGCGGGGCAGTGCCAATGGAGTGGCAGACCGGGGTGGTGGTCCCTCATCTACAAGAAGGGGGACCGGAGGGTGTGTACCAATTATCGTGGGATCACCACTCCTCAGCCTCCCCGGTAAGGTCTACTCCAAGGTACTGGAGAGGAGGTTACGGCCCTCTGATGGTCGAATCTCGGATCCAGGAGGAGCAGTGTGGTTTTCGTCCCGGTCGCGGAACACTGGACCAGCTCTATACTCTCCATCGGATACTCGAGGGTTCATGGGAGTTCGCCCAACCTGTCCACATGTGCTTTGTGGATTTGGAGAAGGCGTTCGACTGTGTTCCCCGGGGTGTCCTTTGGGGGGTTCTCCGGGAGTACGGGGTCGGAGGTCCTCTGCTGAGGGCCATCCGATCCCTGTATGACCGGAGCCAGAGCTGTGTTCGCATTGCCGGCAGTAAGTCAGACCTGTTCCCGGTGAATGTTGGCCTCCGACAGGGCTGCCCTTTGTCACCGGTTCTGTTCACTGTATTTATGGACAGAATATCTAGGCGCAGCCAGGGGTCGGAGGGGGTCCGGTTCGGAGACCACAGGATTTCATCTCTGCTGTTTGCGGACGATGTTGTCTGTTGGCTCCACGAACCAGGACCTGCAGCATGCACTGGGACGGTTTGCAGCCGTGTGTGAAGCGGCTGGGATGAGAATCAGCACCTCCAAATCCGACGGCCATGGTGCTCGACCGGAAAAAGGTGCCTTGCCCTCTGCAGGTGGGTGGAGAGGTCCTTCCTCAAGTGGAGGAGTTAAAGTATCTCGGGGTCTTGTTCACGAGTGAGGGAAGAATGGAGCGTGAGATTGACAGGCGGATCGGGAGGTGCAGCGTGCGCAGTTATGCGGTCGCCTGTATCGGACCGAAAGGCCACGCCCGCAGCAAGAAAGGCCAAGCTCTCGATTTACCTGGTCAATCTTCGTTCCTCTCCCTCACCTATGGTCATGAGCTTTGGGTAATGAAACCGAAAGAACGAGGACCGCGGATACAAGCGGGTCGAAATGAGCTTCCTCCGCCAGAGTGGCTGGGCGCTCCCTTAGAGATAGGGTGGGTGCGAGCCTCCAGTCACACGGGAGGAGCTCGGAGTAGAACCGCTGCTTCTCCACGTCGAGAGGAACCAGTTGAGGTAGGCTCGGGCATCTGTTCCGGATGCCTCCTGGACGCCTCCCTGGGGAGGTGTTCCGGGCACGTCCCACAGGGAGGAGGCCCCGCGGAAAGACCCAGGACACGCTGGAGGGACTATGTCTCTCAGCTGGCCTGGGAACGCCTTTGGGGTCCCCCCGGCGAGCGCGGAGGAAGTGTGTGTGGATCGGGACAGTCTGGGACGTCTATCTGCTCTGACCATGCTGCCCCGCGACCGGCAACGGATAAATAATAAAGCGGAAGAATAATGGATGGCAGGATGGATGGGTCTCGCATTTCTTTTAAAAAAACAAGATCATTTTGATTGTCCCATTGGCCCAATCTTTTATTGACTTAATTATCATCACTTGCGGTGTGTCTTATAGTAATTATGCAGCATTTCTGTTAATGTTTTAGGGTCGATTTATGGCCTCAACTTTGCCTCAACCTAAATAACATGGTATTCAAATAGAAAAAACCCACCCCCACAGGTTCCTGATTGGATGCCAACGAAGGCCCCTCACCATTGGTCCAACTATTTTCCTCCAGCAAATCTCACTGTTATTGTAAGTTACTGTAAGGAGAGGAATTAATTACTATTATTAACTAATTATATTATAAGCACTATATTTACCGGGTCACCTTGTCACAAATGTGTTCTTTTAAAAAACAGATACAACTCCCTTCAAAAATGTTGGATACAGAACCATTGAAAAAACATTATTGAGATCAATAAGTATGAGTTTTTTTCCCCACATCGCTCAGATGTTATTGACTCCAAAACAGGCTATACTGACATTGATCCTCAATCAGACATGTCCTCCTGTTTGATGGTTGCTGGAAACAGGTTTAAAAAAACGGGCTAAAAGCTAAAACAGAGGCTAAATAGGCTAAAAAGTATCAAAAACATGATACCTTAGTAAAAACCCACCACCAATTGTGCGCCGACTGGCAGGTTACTCTAATAAAATAGAGCTTACATGCAACCGGATTAAGCTCAGGCTCAAAGTGTTAATACATACCCCACGGATCATGGCATATACCCACAAGAAGAAAAAAATACCACTTATTATTTATTCAGACTACCACCTCCCCCCAAATATTGAACAATATTGATTATGAGTTCCATCCAGTGCATATACTAACAAATATTCTCATCAAGTTAGAAAGTATTATTATCCCAAATTGCCTTTAAAAAACCTTTGGATGTGATACCACCATGACTACCCACGACCCAAACCCCTAAAAAAATTACTTCAGTATGGAGAAACAGGATCGATGTGGTCGCTGTGAGTTTGAATCACCGCTGTATCACTGAGGGCTCATACCGGACTGGCTTGAGCTCAAGGTGCGCCTACATTCACAGACCAGACATAACACAATCTGCCCACACTGGTCCGCCTCTGCCTGCCGACCTCCACACTTAGGCACTAGTTAATAACGGTCCTTAACCCACTGCACTGTTCCCGCCCTAGTGTCAGAGTTTGCAGTTGCGGGAAGTACAATAACCAGCGATCAGACGAGCATGCTGTGACGTTTATGATGTGCCCTATGTTGATGAGGACAGACAAACCTAGAGTCCAGTTACCTACAGTTTAGGATGAACGAGGTGTTAAGGTCCTGAGACAGGCTCAAGCACGAGGTTTAGCAAGCTGTCAGGCCCATATGGAAATTGAATGGGCAGTGACTCATAGGCCCAGGCACTGCCAAGCAGGGACGTCCCAGACCTAATGGAGGAAGAAGTCTGGCAATTTCAGCCCAGCCAGACCCTAAGGCATACAAGCAAAAGCCCCCACCCACTATATAGTTTGGACGCCCCGCCCCTCTAAGCTATGGTAGATCTAGCACGGTATGCCCATACTCAGCTTCCCATTCCCGGCCGATGGAATCAAGAGTTGCTCAGTGAGACACTCTTTGGTTTTACCAAGCATGACCCTCCAATCTGACAAACTTTATCCCGGACCTCTCGGGAGCATCCATTGGGATTTCAAGCATGCCAGTTATGGAAGCCCCCATACTTGAGGCTCATGCCAACACGATTCTCTTTTAATAAAGCTGAGCTTAGCATTACCTCACCGGTCAGTGAGGGACATAATAGTTTGGTTGAAAGTTCTCGTAAGTGACTACGGTACATCCCGGAGAAACGTCTTCAAGCAATTTCACGGACCACTCAGAGAAAAAGACTCAATTTGCCAGTTTTTCATGTATTTGAATAATCCACAAAATCAAGTACAACTTATGCGTTACTTCGATCCGTTTTACTGCCCTACTGACAATCCAACCACCATTTTGCCGATGATACACTATATAGCAAAGTAGGTCATGTTGTATTGTCCTCTTATACAACCCACTAGGCTCTGAAACCACTTGTGTTGACCACTAAGTGGAAGTAGTTCAGTGCTGTTTCTGAGTGTGACCTTGTGTTGTTGTGGGGTCTCTGTAATGGTGTGGAAATACAAGCGTTACTCTCTGCGGCTGTGCCTCTGTGAGTGATGGGGCCAGCATGCGCCGTCCAGAGAAGCGGAGCTGCCCCATCGCCAGGTGGCCTACACACCCTCGTCCACTATCCTGCATTAGGACGTGGATAGTGTTGGACCCGGCTAATGAGCTCCGCATCAGAGATGCTAATAGAGGTAGGTTACACAGAGCATACATGAAGCCCAGAAACAGAATGCCATGATATACTGACATAATGACCACCATCCTACTGATACATAAGCTTCCAAATCATATCTCGACTGATCTAGCCTATGAGGTGATCACCACCCAAAGTTATCTAAAGAAGCCCATTCTGCGACTCTATACCGCCCCAGAACAAGAGAAAGAAGCCCTGCCAACCTTATAGCATCAGCTAAAAAACACTTCACAGTCATATGGATATTACCCCCGAATCCACATGTAGTGCAGGCATCCCATACATCCCATTATCATCCCCTAAGGTCCCAATTCAGGGTCAGGGGGGACCCAGAGAAAAAAAACAGGACCAAACAGTTTAGGTACCCGCCTTTAACTAAGGGAAACTTTGCCAATTACCAGTGAAGCCCTCTCCACTTAACTTTTAACCAGCAACAATATCTCCACCCTAAATAATACGTCAAATGATCATGTCTTACTCTACATGACACAATTATCCTAAAATGCCACATTTCCATGACAATTTTGCACATCGTGGGAGACATCCTAATAAAAAGCCCCAAAAGTGCCAAGTAAATATAACCCCCATTGCTGAGATACCAATAAAGTACATCAAATCTTAATAGACACAAATAAAGCTTACCCTCCCGCGGGGCATCCCTAGGACTGAGACTGGAGCAGAAGCCTAGGCCAGAATACAGCCCAAACCATAGGCTCAGTAATGGCCAAGAGCTTCTGGGTTGTGCTGTCGTTGCAGTGCACGCCCTCTGGGTAAGACCTTGCACCGTTTATTCCATCAGTGGTTTTAACCTGCAAAAGGCACATAACCTGAATCTGAAATTCTGTTAACAATCAGACATGCACCGAACCAGGGTCTGCACTCATCACCCCGGTCAGCACCACACTCCTCCCCACTGACAGAGCGCGGACAACCCCCCACCGGGCATGCGCTCACATGTGGCTTGTGGCCCGGCGGTCTCAAGCGCCTGCTGACCGCATCACGGGGCTCGGCACCCACTCCTGAGGCGACACCATCCCACCTCAGCGACTTCTGCCACCCATTCAAAGGAATTCTGGAAGAAAACAATCTCAGAGGAGCTCTTAAGCTTACATAGAAAAATAAATACACCAAAAGATTATCAATAAATACACTGTATTTTAATTCTTTCTTATAAACACATGTAGTTGTTGTGAAGCCTAACTGCTCATCCAATCTCCATGGCACCATGAGATAGTAGGTGGGACCTCGTTCCAGAAGAGGTCTGTAGTACCGCGAGGGAGAACCAAAGAGCACACACTTAAAAGCACAATTGCAATGCCTGCCTTCCCAAACAATATTAGCCAATGGGCCCAGAGACCAAAATTCGAATGCCAAGGTCCAGAAAAAAAAACATCCGCAAACATTATAGGCCAACACTCTTCCATGAACTAAGGACTGAATGGCAAAGTCCCATTGGCCCAAATTGAGGATATTTTGAAAGAACTGTCCTCCACAATTCGGATTACACAAACACACAAAACACAGCACATTACTAGTGTGGCCGGTTGTGAGCCCAGGGTCGGTGTCAGACGGTAGTTAAATCTTTTGTTACCGATCTAGATCTGATTTGCTGTCTAGCTGGAAAAATGTTCGTCCCGAGACAGCAACCCTACCACCCTAAGTGCAGTCGTCAAAATGCACCAACCATGACACCCAATGTACCTAATAAATCTATACTCCATAACCAGGTTACAGCAAAAGTACACACTCATGGATAAGCAATTAAAACCAACCGAAGCCCCACGGGTCTGCCCAATATGACAAGACCAGTGGTCAGGCCCATCTACAACCGCCAGGACCTCAGACCTCCTGACACCTGACCCTGCCCCATGGTAACCGCATTCAACTCCTCGCATGCCTAGCCGAAATCAGACCAGGTACTCCCCCAGTGCCCGCCATTTCTGATGAATTTGATACTGATATAAAAACACGACCCACAGAATATATTGCATGAACAAGGACTATCTGAAATCCGACACCAGATTCTAAAAGAATGGACTGTCTACTTTCCTCAGCAAAAAAGAATTTTGTTATATAGCTTTTTCGTTCCCCTGTAATCCTAGTGTTGAGTAGAGGGAAGTTAAGTACATTTATACTGAAATCACCAGAAATCACCAGAAAGCTGAGAAAAAAAAGAGGCACAACATGTGCACCTACATGTTTTCAAACCATACAGAGAGCAATGCTGCCACCTGCTGGCTCGATAAAATATGGTCTCAAGTCATCCCCATACATATTAGATACACATAGGACATCCGGGAACGTGAACATCGCGGACAAAGGCAAAATGCCCGGAATAACTGCAGTCCATGGCACACAACGTTACAAATTGCCTTTTGGCGAATTTGAGCAGTCAATGGGACCACAATCGAGATAGGACACCCATTAACAAGTCTCTGCAAATCTAATTGCTGACAAAATGTGAGCATCAAGCACAAACAAAATGGAAGGCAACACAGAAAATAAAATACCAACCATAGCAACTCGTACCCGAGAGTGGCATGTCGTTACGCTAATGAAGAGCATAACTGTCGCATTCGCATTGTCCAGCTATATGCAATACACCCACATGCCCATATATCCTGACCCCAATCACACTACGCATAAAGCGTGCACCCTACATAAAGGGCAAACAATGCATAACTTTAGAGACCCAACGACTAGAAACAACCAAAATATACGCCCACGGAGGAAAAAGAAATAACCCCGTAATGGCGATTGAACATGGCATTTTTCATTATTATATCCAATCTCATAACCAAGGCAGCAATTATTTGAAATGAACAAACAGTCTGTCTGTGCAGTGTGCCAAACTAAAGTCCCATTTAAGCAAAGGGAAAACCTCAAATTGGATTTCGGATTCAGAGGCGCCACAGCAGAACACCCAGGGCACCCCGATTGCCCAATGGTCCGGGGCTCCCCATTACCGAGCTAACCTCCAGGACTTCATCAAAGCTCATCAGATGTTGGAGCCACAGCCTGGAGAACATTAGACAAAGGGCCAATTACACAGAAATAAAATATGCGTTGGTCGGCTGGGAAGTCGCCTTTTCTGTTCCCCTGGCAATTGCCTTCAGGTAGAATTTGATAACAAACACATAACACCACCAACAACTAAACAAACACCCTCTCACATGAGTCCCAATCATCTCATGCATGATAAAATGACAGGCAAAATATATTTCATACAAAATGATGCAGCGGTACTTACTGAATGTGGCCTGGACACCATGAAGGGATCAGGTATACGGTAATGTGCATCAGGACTGTGGCTCGGGGTATTGTGCTGCTTAAAAAGTGGAGGACTAGGGGACTTCTCTTATAACGTATTTTATGCTATTTGCCGATGTGCGAGCGGGGTCCCTAATTAGCTGTGTGCGCCCAAATGTACAGTTAAACTCTGGGCGACTCTCACGCCGGACGCGCCACATATGCAAGCTCCCTCACACATGTACACGCACTCACACACGACACACACACACACACAACAATTTCCTCCCCCCCTCATTGAACGTAACATCCACACGCATCATCTATCCCCTCTGGTTACCGCTTCTAAGTTGCACGATTGTGGGGGTCAGAACTACATTGGAGCTTATATTTCCACAACACAAACATACATTGTATTGCACACACACACATCGCTTTAACTATACAAACACAAAGGACACATACATTCATGTATTCGTACACACACACATAGCTTACATATACACACACACAGAGGACATTACACACATTACAATACATGTATTGTAACACACTCAAATAGCTTACATATACACACACACAGACATTACACACATAATACAGTATTGTACACAACCCCCCTACATACCTGGTCTGTCGCGCTCTCTGTGTCACGGGAGCCCAAAGCGTTCTTGCAAAATACCCGGCTCCAGTCAAACCCATTGACCATGTTTTTGATGAGGTCCTTGGCATCAGCTCAACAATGATCACTTTTAAACTATAGCGGAGACCTGCGAGACGCGGCTCCGTCACTCGCTGCCAGACCATGTGGACGAGCTGTTTTTGCTTAAAAATGCTTTAAGCCGCAGCACAGAAGAATGGGGAAGATTAAAGCAGTTTCTCTGTGCGCAAAGGATGCCGAAGCTGTTGCTGGGTTTTGGCCGCGCTGTCTCGCTTGATCCAGTAAGAACGCAGAGCTGCACTTAATGAAAGTAACCGCAGCTCGAAAAATTGGCTGATTATTTCAAAGAACGTGGACTATTTTAAACTACGCTGTTAACCGGTTTCACCCGGTTAATGAGGATCGGTGGTCGGTCATGAAAATTCATTGTTTTACATCCCTAGCTATAATAATAATAATAATAATAATAATGCATCGGATTTTATATAGCGTTTGGACACTCAAATGGAACGCTTTACATGTCTTCTCTTTAAATCATAGTACACGGTGGTGATAAACTACTAACGCAGTATTGCACTTTACAGCCGCAGTCCCACACTGTGGATGGTGTTCACAGAGGGTTAAGAAGTCTTGCCAAGGACACACAGCGACAGTGGGAGTCGATGGTGAAGGTCGGGCTCGAACACACAACCCTCTGGCTCACAAGGGCCACAAGCTCACCAATACTAGAAGACCGAGTATGTTCGCCGCTCGGTTATCAATGCATGCTTTCCGATGAGCATAATTTTCATTCTTACACTGTTCTGTCATCAAGAAAAAAAAATGAAAAATCAAAACTAACTAGTTTAAAGCTGAGTTCCTGCAAGAAGAGTTTCAGAATGGTAACAACGCTTGAGACAAATAGGTGTGCCTGTCTTCGCAATAGGACAATGGGCGCGAATGGCTGATGAAGCAGATACGGAGGTGGTTTTTTTGCCTCAATCGAAAAAGAGTGGCTGTCTGTGGAGGTCACTCTGTTGAAGTTGTGGGAGATAGATATATAGTTGTTAGAATGTAATAAACGTCCTTTTATCTCAAAAATGGGAATGCCTACACCGCTTATAGGATATTTTCCAAGAGTGGGGTCTTCTCAGCCTCCTGTTTTGACCTCTCGATCAACCACAGCTACGATCGAGACAAAACATCCTTTATCTATGAAGTTAAGTTGTGTTTGCAAAATCAGCAATTAAAACTTTTGGAATTTTAAAAAGTTAATTACTTGTATTTTTATTTCAAATAATTTTGATTATATTAGTTATTGATATTAAATATATCAAAACAATTATTATTACAAACAATATTTATTTTTTAATGAAGGGAGTGAAAGTCTATGGACCATTCTTGAAAGTATTATTGTAATTTCTACTTACATGTTGTTATGCTAAATAAATAAACATTTATAGATAATAAACAATAAATTAATTGTTTGCAAATAACAATGTTACCACTCTCGCTGATCTTGCTCAGGCGATTTACATCTTTAATTCCTTCTTAGGTTAGAAGGATTTTCTCTAAGTCAGCCTTGATACGCCGCAAACAAGAAAGGGAGCAAGACCCTAAAAGGAAAAAAAGGAAAAAATTAGGGAAACTCACAAGCTGTTCTTATTGTTTGCATGGATACGTACGGTGTGAGACGTTCAAACAGTTTTCCTGGTCGCAGGCGTTATGGTGTCAATCCACGAGTCAAAAGTCCCTGACAGAAGAGAAGACATTCACTTAAGGTTCGGAGCAAGTACAAAAAACAAATAATAGTAAAAAGTATCCAAACTCACATCAGAGTGAGTTGAACACATCGGGCAGCAGGAAGTTGAGCAGTGCCCAGAGCTAGTGCAGGTTGTTCTGCAGCGGTTTTCCGGTCAGCAGCAAAAGGTTGTGGTTTTGAACTCTGACGATTTCAGACAATGCAGAGACTTTTAATAGCTTGAAAATACCAAATAAATTAGGAGACAAAAAACTCCTCGAGCCCCAAGCTGATGTCAAAATTGATTTCTCATTCTTGATTCTGGTGCGCATCGTCAATGACAAGAATTCCAGTTAAACTTTTGAACACGGCTTCTCGATGATCAGCATTTCGTAGGACGTGACGCAAACGTCCATTCTCCCGGCAGCAGCACGTTCCGGACTGTGCGTTCTGGAGTGTTGTTTATAACAGAAAAATTAGACTACATTTTAAACTATTTTGTCAACTCATGTTCATTTACAATGGACTCTCAATAAAAACATCCTTGAGTAGAAAATAAATGGTGAGACAGAATAAGAAGGTAACACAAATGGATTACAATAAATATAATACAGACTTAGATCCTAATTCGTACCCACAGGTGGGAGAAGAACTTCCTCTATGCTACACCAGTGGGAGGAATCATTTTGTTTATTATTTTGTGCTGCTGCAAACAGCCATGTGACTGTAAAGAATGTCATTTCACTTGATAAAATTAGAAAACTAATGTAGGGGAAATTCTATCCATATATTTCAAAAAAAGTAGAAAACGTTCAGTGTGACTTAGTGGCGCCAATGACATCAACTGTTTAAGACTGAGGGACAGGAGCTTTCTACTTGAGGCCAAAAAAACTCCAGACACGTAGATGGATTAAAAACAACTCCAGGTCTGAGACTGATGGGATACATGACCAGGATTTATTGTATCCCAACAATCAATCTCACAGTTTTTAATCTGAGGAACCGCACAAAAGCTCGTACCCTTGGTCCGGTCCACAATGGGCAAACGGCGCGCAAGGAGGGCACTCAGCGCTTGAACTCTTTATACAGTTGTAGATGGTGGACTTGGGGCTCAGAAGCACCATGTGTTGGGACCCGTGCTGCTACGATAATGCTTCATGTAGCCAAGTAAAGATTTGGTATGCAGTGTTTTCCCCAAACCCTAAAAACAACAGAAAATATTGAAGCATTTAAGCTTCTTCAATCAACTAATTAATTGCGAGCAGGTTATTGTTTGTACCATTTTCATCAGCAAGATCGTTAATTCCATTTCGTATAAAAGAAATGAGCCAGTTCAACCCACGGATATGTTATTCCCTATCTTTCCGGACTTGACATCTAAGAACACAACATAAAAAGGTTATTCTCGCTTTATTCATGTTTAACGGAATATAAAAAATAAAAAGGTGCTTCAAGAAGGAGAGTCGTCGAAAGCGCGTAGCACACGTTTGTCGTCTTGGTGCTTCACTCAGCAGCTCCTCGTATTCCTCTGATCGGTGCGCCGGTGACAGGTACTGATGAGACAGATGCGGAAAAAGCCGGACAAGGCAATCTTGGAGAGGTAGGGACTGTGGCATTTCGTTTGAATGTTTACGTTGAAAATATATGAATACACAAGATATGGGTCTGCAATTTAATGTAAAAGGTACGCAGATATCATTGGACAGTAGAAAAATGAATAAAAAAAATAGGATTAATAAAATTAGAACTGAATACAACTTTTAAAATAGCAACACCAGTTTTAGAAAGAAGTAGGGTTATCATTATAGTTATCATCCAATAGAATTACCGAACTAGTTGTTAATTTTTACAGAAATATAATATCGGCTTATTAACCGAGCAGCGAGGTTAATAAATGTTTTATTATAGGACTAATTTAATTATGCAAATATTGATCTCCAACTCCCTGGTTTTCTAATGTGTTTTAGCTTTCTGGGCTGCAAAGAATTTGTCAATTCTCATCTTGTCTGTTTGTTCTTTCTCCCCCTGCTTTCTCCTGTTCACCAACCACTGCACCCCCAGCCACGACTCCGTGAAGCTGATCAGTTTCCTGGTCGGGTGGGGGGGGGCGGGGGGGGGGGGGGGGGTGGGGGGGGTGAGGAGACACCACCCTCCATTGGTCTCATCTCCAACACGATGAGTCCGCCTACAGGAGGGAGGTGGGACAGGCTGGTTTCCTGGTGACAGTGGTTAAACATCCTGGAGCTGAACGCCCAGAAAGGACAGTGGGGAGAGATGATTGTTTTTGAATGGGACTTCTGAAGAGCACTGTCCCCCCGCTCCCCCCCCCCCACCCTCCGTTGTATTTGACTCCCCATCACCTTTGGAGGTTGTTTTCCTTTTTTTTTTTTTTTTTTTTTTTTTGTTTTTTATTTGGTCTTTTTTTTGGTGGTAATTAGTTGTTTTATTTATTTTAGGGTCTCCCAATTGCTTTATTAAAAAAATTACTTAGGAAATAGAATTGGTAAGTATGGAGACTATAATATCACCCAATTACCTAACAATAATCAAACAACAAACAAAAAAAAAATAACAAAAAAACCTAACCATGAGTGCTGTAATTCTAAAAACTTAATGAAGAGATTCTTAGAACTAGCACTATGAGAAAGAAACAAACCCATTCCCCCCCCCCCCCCCCCCCCCAATTTTCCATTAAATAACTTATACTTTTTATATATTCTTTTTTTTCTTCAAAAATATTTCTTTTCTACCTGTGTTTATAGTCCAGAATATCCCGTTTTTTCTGTTATCCTCTACCTAATCTCTCTGGAAACTCGCGTCGCCATACGATTGTGGTTAAATTCAGAGACGCCACCTGTAATTTTCTCCTCCCCAATATATTTTACTTAACCCATAGTCTAACATTTAGACCTACCTTCAAGATCTGCCTCTCCCCCCCACCTCCCCCGTGTTGTGTGTGTATCCACCTCTCTCACTTACTCTAAGCTTTTCATTCAGAGATATTCTGTACTCTAAACATACAACAATCCCACCCCACCTCCCTCCCCCATGCCCACCACCCACACTATATATAATCCATACACCTCTTTATAAACGCTTATTCGTATTTTTGTATCATCTTAATATCTCACCAACCGCTTTTCTTTGATCGTCCAATACTTTCCTTACCATCCTCCCATATGATTTTACTTAAGTTTAGTATAGAGATAATCCTCTACTACCAGTATCCCCTCTCCAGCCTCTAGTATCTTAAAGACTTTTTTACCCACTCCCATTCGAGGTGTACACACATCAACAAATTCAAAAATTCTCAATGCAACATCAACCCCCAACCCCCCCCACCCTCCCCCCCCCCCCACCCCCTCCTCCTCCCCCCCCCCCCCCCCACCTCTCACCTCTTCCCCCTTTATTACTACCTACTCACACGCACACGCACACCAACCCCATTCCCTCCAGTCTCCCTCCTCCCCACCCCCCCCACACTTTTCAACCCAAAACTCTCCAACCAATGGAGAGACAATATATAGTAGCCAATTCTTAATCCTTAACTACTCTTACCCCTCAACCCTCCCAATCCACAACCACTATAATCACCCTCCCCACCCACCACCACCCCCACCAACCCCTCCCCACCCTACCAACCCCCAAATCATCATAGAGAGATTCACCGCCACCATCTAGATAGATCACTCTCCCCAACTACCCCCCCAAAACCCCCCAAACCACCCTACCACACCCCCAACCCACCCCAACCCCCCACCCCCCACCCACCAAACTCTCCACAAAACACCCCCCACCAACCCAACAACCCAAACACACAACCATCTACCCACCACACACCCCAACTCACTATACAAACCTCTCTCTCCACCCTAACCACACCCCCTCACACAACACCACATCACACCACACTCTCACTTACTCCTACATCTATACCCATTAGATTATAGATAGACCAACCACACCACCCCCCCATACCCAACCAACCCCAATTAATACCCCCCCCCCCCCATTCACCACACATTAACCCTCCACCCTAAATATCTCACCCCCCCCATACCCTAACTATTAAACTTTAATTGCTAGATGACAGCAGTGATAACTGAAACTGTGCTTCGACTGATGACTTCAATCACACCACCTACCCTCCCACCCATAGATGATATACCTAACCTCCTCTCAGCTCTTTGAAAATATTACCTCATTTCCCCACACCCTATACCCACTAATTATATATAGTACTTTTACTCTAACTTACCCATACCCAAACCACCCCAACTACAACCAAAACAAAAAACACCCCTTCTCCCCAACACCTTCATAATGACCTTACAACTTACTTCACTCACACATCCATCCTACTAGATTTTCCTTTCGCCGTCTAAAGCTCTATTGGCTCCGCGATAGCGCTTTAATTATCAAGTATTACCGCCTCTATCATTTACACTTCTTTTTCAGAAACCAGAGAACTCCTACTCTCTACATCATTTTCTATGTGTGTGTGTCATACCCACATCGCTCACCCTTGTGTGTGGTACCCCACTCACTCACCTCACTCTCGCTACGCCACTGTGTATATATACCCCCACCCAGTATTGCTGTGCATTGAGTCTTATAGTAGCTTCTCACGGAGACATCTATAACATCCATCCCAATCATACCCCACACTTCAGTTCTCCCCCATACCCCCATCCAATCCCCCCACTACCCCACCCACACCCTCCCTTTCACTAAATCAACACCACAAAAATCATCCCTTTTCTCCCATTAAAACAACCCCTCTTTTTATTTTTCAAACCGGTGTAACTTAATTACTTCTCTCCTTGTTTATTGGCAATTCTCATCATGTGTACGCTCTACACACACCCAGAGATAGATAGAGATGAGAGACCGACTCACGCTCCCACCATCCCGTACATTATTATACCTGTAATATCCTGCCTATAATTTTCCCCCATACCCTACCATTGAATCAGCTCTCTACAATGCTCACACCACAGTACTACTATCCGTCTCCCCTAGATGTGTATCATCCCTAATACACCTCACTCACACACTCCTCTGTTCTGATACTATGTGCTACTGTTTATATCTAGCCGATGTGTATAGAAGTTCGCACGCAATTATTATACGCCACAGCAGATATTTAAAACTCTATCTACATATCCTCCTAGATAATAGTTATCCAAATCAAAAGTATGCTTTTAACATCAAAAGATATGTCCGCAGCGTATCTGCTTCAGATCCGAAGTGATATCACTCGAACTCCTTTATCATCGAGCTAAGCTTCGACTAAAGACGCGACAGTGGTATTAATATTATTGTGTTTATCACTACATAAATTTTAGCGAGAATTTCCTATCGAATAGTATTGTTTCGCCTCTACTGTGCTATCTTATCTAATTAATCACTCTCTTACTCCTTACCCCATAAACCCACCCCTCACAAATAACCTCCCTAATCCTTGAATCTTCTAGACATACAAGATAGATATATATATATATAGACATTACGCACAGCTCACCTCTTCACAACTCTACCTCCTCTCTCTCTACTCGCTCACGCTCAGCACCACTACTCACTATTAGATCTAAAGAGTTAATTCTCTCTCCTACAGACTCACTCTATCTAATACTATCTATATAGCTAGAGAAACTCATCCAAGCTCCCACTTACAATATTGATACTCTCTTCTCTCTATTACTACTGACTTTAGTAATTAATTCAAGCCCACCTAACCCAATTGCTACCCTCAAGATCTCTAGTAAGAAATTCTCTATTAGTACGTAAGTGAATTTAAATTCTTCAGCAACCATAAGATATGCGCGCTCATTAGAGAAAGTCCGTGTTTTCGTATTCTTAAAAGGTCCTATCTCTACTGTTACTATCCTTATACCCCACCAACCCCCTCTCCCCCCCCCCCACCTCTACCACCCACTATCCAAGATTTAATTCCAAAATATATATTATCGAGTAGAGTTTAGAGATTTTCCACACCCTCAGATAGCTATAGCATCATAATAACCTCTCTCTCGACAGCTGCACACACCCATACGTACATTAATGCTTTCTACTCTCATAATAGTGGTGTGTGTGTCATGCCTGATCCTTTAGAGTAGAAGCTTCAAGAGTATACCACACTCTCTCACTATATCGCTTATCCTCTTATTGTCTTCGCATTTATCTCCAGAATCTTCTTTAAAATTATCAAGTTTTTAGAGATCATTTATTCACCTGATCATCATCCGATATACGTCTATCGATACCGCAAGAATAAAATCATGATTCTGGTTTTTTATCTCTCACCTCGCCTACTCTTTGGTGGTTGTGTCGTTTTTAAATTGTTACTGTGTGTGTGTATCAAATCCCAAAAACAACACCCCACCTAGAACGAGACTCACACTTCTTATCGATGATCTCACACTACTCTCTCTCACATGATGTGTCAAACTATAGTGTATAGAGATATTGAAACATCTAGCTCACCAAAATCTCTATAGAATATATCACCACACCCCTACACTTCCCAATAACCCCATAACCAAACCCACCATAATCAACCACCACACACCCACAACAAAACAATTTTACTCTAACTTAAAATTAGATCATCGCATCCACCACCCCCCCTACCATAATACTCATACTCACACCCCCCTCCCCCCCCCCTACCCCTCCCCACCCCCCCCCCCCCCCCTCCCCCTTTCCACACCAACCAAAACCCCCCACCCCACCTCCCTCAATTTATAAGATGTGGTTGAGATGTCCCACCTCACCACTTTTGAAGAGTAATATATAATAGAGAAGATATAGATTCTCTCTCATTAAACTAAATTCTCTGATAGCTATAGATATCTACTATGCGCTCTTCGTAGCTCATGTCACCCAACCCCCCTCCTCTCCACACATCCCCCCAAATAACTCACCTCAACTGTCCTACTCAACGCTCTTACCATATGCATACTCAAACATACCCCCAAATAACCCACTGTGTCACTTTTAATTATCTACCGCATATACAGATACGAGTCCTGGTACGTCGTAAACCTCTCCCAATCCACTTATTTCCACAACATAACCTCATAACAATAAAATATTTCTAGTCTCATCTCCTGCTTATATTATTGCGATCGCGTTGATAAGACCTGATGTTATTTTTGTTTAAAAAAACCAACCTAATCACAATCCTATCATTATTAACCTACACCATTATTACCAAATATACTCACAAACATATCCTTCTCCTCGAACAATCTTTTATATGTACGCGAGTAGAGAGGTGTGAGTGTGTGTGTGTCCGTTTTACTGTGGAACTGCGTGAACGCGCGATTCGATATATACCTATCTCTCACTTGTAGTAAGAAGATACAGTGATTTTTGTACATCTACCACACTCTAGATATGAGATCCAGAGATAGAGATGATCACCTACCCACTTTGTCCCACTTCTGTGCTTCTCTCAATTCTGTGTCTTAATTTGTGATAGTAGATAGAGTATAGATAGTTAAAGGAGGAGAGAGAGAGAGAGAGCCTGCACTGTGGTCTTGCACGCCGATCTGTGTATCTGACTTGTCATATCTTAGTGGGGCTTACCTCCTCTCCCCTCCCATGCTGGAGTTGAAGTGTTGTTGTGAGATAGATAGAGGAGAGAGAACACAGCTCTCCTCTCTGAGCAACAATTGCACTCTAACTGTGTTGCTTTTTGTATAATAGTAGGTACATGATAATATATACATCTCGGCGAGAGGATGGTGGTTTAGAGACTTGATGACCACGAATTTTATTCTCAATTATATCCTCCTAAATTGGTGAAGTGTAGTGTGATGATCCTCAGGGGAGGGGTAGCGAGGCTCTAGAGATTCGAATTATGAGCATCGTGAGTGGCAGGATATAGTGAACACGTCGGCGGAGAGTTAGAATCGCGTGTGTCGGAGATGAGATCATCTTGACCTAGCGCCACCAGTCCTATGAGACACAGATATCTCCCCCTCCCTCGCTCTCAGAAATTGATTTTGCCTCGCCCTCTCACCTCACGCGACTCTGCATCGGTAGTGAGCACTAGTAGCTGCGAACACCTGAGTCACGCGTTCGGCAAAGTGTCATATGTGTTAGAATCATCTGTAAATATATATTGTCATGTAATACTATTGTTGATATTGCCCATGTCTGTTGATGTGACCAAATACAAAACTTCCCTTTTCATGTGTTGTTTCGCGAACAGCAACTTAAAAGGGACCAAGGTTTGAATACTTGTTGAAGACAGACAGAGCTGGTTTGCCATTTCGTTCAGACGCGCACTGGACAGAGACCCCAAATCCCTCTGAAGATGAAACCAGGGCGCTTCAACCGCATCAAGAGCGATGAGAGAAGCAGAACCTGAATCTTGGTGGGAGGAGTGAGTTTAATACTATGTTCAATTATTTCCAAAGTGTGGTGCATAAGTCCCATTAAAAACAGGTACTGAGAGAGTTGTCAAATTCATAATGGGCACAAATACATGCCCCGCCCCCCTTTTGTTTTTCTTTATACAATATGAAAATTTTTAAAACTACCAATAGTCTTGCTAACATGGTTATTTTAAGGATGTTTCTTGCTGTATTTTTTTTCAAACAGTAATTGTGCATTATTTATGGGCAACAGCGTTTATATGTTGGTCTTCATTGGGTAGTTAAAATAAAATGATGATATCGAATGTATTATATGACTTGGGACCGTTCTTACGCTGCGCTCTGATTGGCTGATTACCGGGTAGATATTTTCACAATCTCAGACCTGTTTACCATGACAATCAGTCCGCATCGCGTTTATTCACAATTGTTTCTTCCTGAGGAGTACCTCTCAGTTAAAAAATTAAATAATGGGCAGACAACTCGGGAGAATTTCTCCCAGTTCTATTATCCGCGTACGGATTTGGGACAAGCAGGAGGAAGAAATTTACAGAAAATAACAAAGAAAAAATAACAATCAGAATCAGAATCAGAATCATTTTTATTTCACGTAAGTAACGGGAGTGGTCACAGAACT